TCTTTGCTGGGTCTGCGACTGAAACCACGTGCACCAGAACCTGAAGGCGTTTTTGATCCATCTGTGAACTGAGTTGATATCTAACTCTAAGTTGTTTCCAGACAACTGCGACTCACATTTTTCCAGTTTCAAAACATTTTCCGTAATTCCCAGGACCACTCGATCATCCGAATTATTTGAAAATCTCAGGCGGTTTACGTTTTTGCAGAAAGAGCTAACCCTGTAATACTTTTTTATTTTCAGAAATACTGTTTTTGAAGACTGTTCAATGCCAGGCATATATCTTCTTGAGATGAAACACTGTAAGTTTAAAACGCATGTATTCAAAGTGTTTGTTATTTACTCACTGAATCCAGAGTTGAAATGAATACATGGAATTTTGACAATGTTTTTTCGAGAATGTATCACAGAATTTCCGACTATTCCAGTTTCAGTAGTGTTTTAGAAAACTCACGAATAAGGAATTTGAATTCAGATGAACAACGTTAAAATGGGATGTTTCATGTTACAAGAAAAACTACAAAGGCCTCATTATTCAAATGCAAATTGGAGAGTACATTCAATCCTATATTACCAGAAAACACGCATTTATCTTTCTATCTATACAGCGAAGTAACCACCAACATAACGTCAAAGTGAACTAAATTAAATGATTTTTCTTACTAAATAATGTGTTTTAAAACTCACAAAAGCTCCATTATTAGGAAGCAAATTGGATCGTACATTTCCCAGGTAATTGCCATACAATGAAATTCTACATTTCCAGGCAGAGACGTGAACAAGAAATAACACAACTAGAACCTGTATAAAAAAGCGACCTTTCAATCCGATCACAAACACATATGTGGAACAACACGAATGAATTATATATCTACACACATCGGAAAAGTCTGGGGATATTTTTAAAAATAGCAATAATTTTTTTAGAACGCTTAAGGGAAAAAAAAGTTGACGGGTGATTATTAAACGAATGTAACTTACAACAAAATTTATTAAATGGTTAAAAATACTGAGTGCGCATATAAGCAAAACTAAAAAAAAAATATACATACATAATACATATACATATACATACATAATACAAAAAAAATTGAAATCAGTACAAAGTATAGCCTCCACGCTGGTTGATTACGGCCCTACATCTACGTCGTGCATCGACAAAATGAGATTGTCAATGTTTTGTTGAGGTACATTTGCCCATTCAGCGATAATTGCTGAGCAAGAACTGCATATAATGTACAAACTCGACACTTTCAGATTATTCATTTTAGCCGAAAACCTACAGTTTGTAAAAAACTTGATAAAAGATTAGTTACCGTTTTTGCAGGCTTTGTTCAACCCATAGAAATCTACAGGGTGGTCGAGTGATATTTATGATATGATATTTAGTATGTTATAAAAATATCCCTAGACTTTTTCGATGTGTGTATGTATCTATTCATCATTTCAGCATAAAGAATACTACTCTGTTCAAAAAAATTAAAAGAATATTCATTTTTCTCCATAACTATTCATTCGTTCAACAATTTATACTTTGTCCCCTTCAAAGGAGCCCCCCTCACATAAAATACACCTGTGTTAGCGATTTTTCCAATCCTCGAATTCTGATATACACTTTTTGTTATATCCTTAAGCTCTCCCAGTGATTCACCACCTACATTTTTATACTTCCGTTATATTACTTGAATATGAACAAGTCTACTACTTTCAGTTACACCGCCTACCTGGCAGAAATGAAGTTCTGCTATTACGTCAAGGCATGCTCTATAATAAATGAAAAATACTCCTTCTTTATATTTAAAATGTTTTCTTGCTGAAACTGAGGCTTTACACGTATATGCCCGTAGGGTGAGAAATTAATTCATTTTTATTTTGCTGAATTGCATTTTTCACGGTGGAGTTTGTTGTTCTACAAAATATGTATGTACTAGTTGTTACCTGCGGCTTTGCCTGCGTATAATTTGGTTTGTCACATTGAGTTTTGTGACAGACTATTTCAAACAAATAGTCACAATATTTTTTATTAACCCAACTTCAAAACTAACGAAACTCAATACCATCTTTGAACCCCTCTTTTCCCCCTTGGGGGTGGAAATTCCTGATTCCCTTTCTTGGTGCTCATTTACGCTATACAAAGAATCTATCTGCATATTTCAAGATTCCAGGTTCAATAGCTTCGGCTGTACGTTAGTATAAGAGCGGGCAACAGCTAGTAATTTATATTTTAACTTCAAAAATACAGGGTGTTAATTAAGTATGTACCATACATTTACCAGACGATTCTTTAGGTAATTTTAAGACGAAATGTTCATATAAACATGGGTCCGCAAATCCTTCGTTCTTAAGATATAGGGTGTGAAAATAAAAATAAAACAAAAGTTATTAAGTCCAGTGGCGTCTCGAGCGGGATTTGAACGAATACTTTTGACTTATGTACGCCACTGACTTTTGTGCAATTTTTATTATTTCATTGGATTAAGCAATTAGAAATACAACTTTTTTTGTCTCCTGAATTTTTTTCGTATCTTGTTTTCCTCATACCAGTACTCGGAAAATAGCTGAAGAACTGAATATTACCCATGTCACAGTGTGGCAGATTTTAAGAGCCCAGCAGCTACATCCGTATCACATGCAACGTGTGCAAGCTCTATTGCCCAGAGATTTGCCTGTAAGACTAGCTTTTTCTAATTGGTTACGCGGTAAAATAAGAAGAAATCCAAGCTTCCTGACTCGAATTTTGCAATTTCATTATTAACTTCCACAACAATCATATTTGGGCCGAAAACAATCCACACGCCTTGATAGAAAATAATTTTCAAGAACAGTTTTTTTTTTAATATTTGGGTTGGAATTGTCGGTGACCATCTCATTGGGCCTCACTTCCTTCCACCTAGACTTAATGGAGAAGAATACGGAAGGTTTTAGGAATTTGTTTAACCTGTACTTTTCGAAGAAATTCCAGTCATGGAAAGATTCCGTATGTGGTACATGCACGACGATGCTCCACCACACTTTAGTGTAGTGGCACGGCAATTTTTGGATGAAAATTACCATAATCGCTGGATTGGGAGAGCAGGCCCACACCCATGGCCACCTCGCTCGCCCGAAATGAATCCCTTAGATTATTTTCTCTGGGGACACCTTGAAGCGTTGGTATACAAAACTGCTTTTGAAAGTGAAGAGGATTTACGGAATAAAATCATTAATTCATGTGTCATAATAAATTTAATTGTCTTGAATTATTTTACAATGTTGCCCTCATGTAATAGCTTGAAATGATATTTTATTCATCAGATTTACCTGATTATTAGATAAGGCAACATTGTAAAATAATTGAAGACTAGTAGATAAGGCAACATTGTGGAATTACTTTACGACAATTCAGACGCAGGTAACTATCAGAGGTATCTGTGGTATAAATAAGGACAACGTTGTATGTATATTTAGTTTAACCTTCCTCTTGAAGATGATCACTTGGTGATCGAAACACGTGTCGAGGTGTTGAAAATAACTGTTTGGTATTGGGATAAAATTCCAGTAATAGTCACAGAATGAATATGTCTGTTTCTGTGTGTTAATTACACGCATACAGGTGATTATGTAACGTCATTTCTGAATTGAATTAAAGAGTGCCCCAAGTTATAAAGCTTTTGTGATTATTTCAACAAGTTTATCGTAAGTGCAGAACCGTGTTTGATATCAGCTTAGGTAGCGAAATTCACTTCGGTATTATACCATTATTCTCTCGTTACTCCAACTTGAAAATTATTTCCAGTTTCCGATGTATTTTTGGAATGTATCTAAGTACGAAATGCTTTCGGGAAGGCTTTTATTATTTAGAATGTCAAATAAATCAGTTTGAAATATAATGCTGCAGACTGAAACGTATATTCAATTATCGTCGACGACAAAGAAAAAGATAAAGATTTCAATAGCATTATGGAACAAGAAAATCTTAATAATTCAACCAAGAGATGCCAATTAACTCGAATGAATTAAGATCGTCATCAAGTCATCAATAGCCAGAAGTTCCATCAAATTGAAAGGGTTGTAATTTTAGATATTTATTTATTTATTTCATACATTATTCTACGGTATGAACCCAATTACAGAATCGGGAGTAACAGTGGCATTTACAAATACACACATCGGAAAAGTCTAGGGATATTTTTAAAAATGGCAATAGTTTTTTTTTAGATCGCTTTAGGGAAAAAAAAGTTGACGGGTGATTATTAAACGAATGTAACTTACAACAAAATTTATTAAATGGTCAAAAATACTGAGTGCACATATAAGCAAAACTAAAAAAATCATATACCCTAGACGGTTCACGTAGGTTACTTCACCTTGAATCCCTTTTTTAGTACCGATACAAATCTCAAGATGGCACTGTAAATTTGTTCTTTGGTTTTATGTCACGGACCCACATATATTCTTGTGGTTTGTGATGTATGTCAAAAATAAGAAGAAGAAGAACATGTGCATAATATATAAAAGATGGTCATGTGATTCATGTCACTCATGTGCTGTTGGTCTCTGGTGTTGTTGTCTGACTATGTACCCTAGTGATTATTTATTTCGTTATTTTGAATGTTTTACAATAGTTTACCACAACAAATGTTGCGTTCCTTATTGCAGAAGTATATCTAGTATAAGACATGCGTTTCCTAATCCAGATAAAGATATAAATAGGTTCAAGAAATGGATACTGGTAATTAATAACTTGGAACTGATGGAAATGGACCCAAAAGAAGTTTACGATTCTAGAAGGCTGTGTGATAGTCATTTTGAGGCAAAATACATTTCTGCTTGGTCTCACAAGTTATTTGGGAACGCTGTTCCAATTCTATATCTTCCTGGTGAGTAAAAATTAAATGAAAACTTAAATGAAACAGACTTTTTTATAGGTTCAACAGGCCCAAATGATGTATATGATACTCCATCAACATCTGAGTCTTCAAATAGTTCTGCTCAAGAAAGTACTCAATTTAATGAGTTAATCATTGAGATTCCAGAATTGAACGAATCTTCTCACAGTATTGAAGGTAATGAATATAAACATACATACATATATCGAATTCTTTTGGTAGAACTCGTGCAGAGTCAGTGTATTACTCTCTTTTTTCAACACTCTACATTTTAAAGGATAGAGATACATGAGTTCTGTCAAAAATTTCATATTCATATTGGCAAAAATTGATGCGTGAAATCTGAGTTCATTGGATTATAGCTCTTGGTATGAAATTAGCGCATAGCCGTAGTGCACCTTTTTCACCTCGATAGAATTATTTTAATGTAGTTTTAGTATAAAATTAGCATTATTTTTGAATTAATAAAATTTGATCTCATTTTTAGGTAATGCAGGCAGTGCACTATTGTCACCATATCAGTTACTGATATCAACTGGGATTGCAAAGCATACAATGACACCAAAAAAGGAAAAAATGTATGGAGCACTGCAACAATTGCGTAAAAAGTATACCATAGAAAGAAACAAGAAAAAATAATTCCGGCGTAGATTGTCTGAAGCTGAACAATTTAAAAAAGAAGAAAATGTTGCCAAATTAAACAGTATGGCATCTATACTTATTCAATGTCAGCTGCGGGAATCCAAGAAATCAAAAAAACTTAGACGGTTTACACTTGATGAAAAATTGTTCGCTTTGATTCTATACAAACAAAGCGTTAAGTCTTACTCAGTTCTTTCAAAAATTTTCACTTTACCCAGTAAATCTACACTGATCAGGCTTCTAGCAGAAATTGTGGGGGGACCAGGTATAAATGATGTACTTTTTGATTCATTACAGAAGTTGATAGCTGACAAGGATTCTTCTGAAAAATATATAGCCATTTTATTTGATGAAATGGCTATTATGCCCAGCCTTCATTTCAATGAGCTTTCTGGTTTCATAGAAGGATTTGAAGAGATACAGAAGAAAATAAGGGACATTCTTTAGCTGACCATGTACTAGTATTTATGGTTGGTACCATAAATACCATAAGTACCATTTTTCAAGTAATGGTGGTGCATCAACTTTACAAATAAAACATGTATTAGTGATTATTATATAAAAGCTCATAAACATAGGCCTTAAACCCATAACTGTGATATGCGATCAAAATTATTCAAGTGTTATGAATAATTTAATTCAAGAGACAAAAGAAAAATATTATAGATCTGGAAGCATAGACAGTTACCGACATGGTTCATTAGAAGTTGGAAATTCAAAAATATATCCAAATACAGGAATAACTTCAGCGAAGAATTCTGCTCTGACACCTATCGGATATAATCTAATGCCCTTCGTGGTATTAGTCAGAGGAATAGTTGTTTGCTGATAGGTGTCAGTCCATTAACCTACAGTGTAGGGAATTGAGACTGGCCTGAACGAATTGTTCTTTTAGCTGATTGACTTTTTTTGCGAACACTGATAAAAACAGACAAAACTTGTTTTGTTTTTCTGGCATTTAAAGTAATTGAAATATTTTCAGAAACACAAAATATTAAGTTCTTCAAAGTATTGGCCTCCCCAGTTAGAAAGACATACTTTTCTTTGACAGTAATTTTCTTACGATATCCTGATCAGCGAATGAGGAATCAAAAACAAGCTACAGGTATAGTA